TCCTTCCTTCCTTCCTTCCTTCCTTCCTTCCTTTCTTCTTCTTCTTTCTTTCTTTCTTTCTTTCTTTCTTTCTTTCTTTTTCTTTCTTTCTTTGTTTCTTTCTTTCTTTCTTTCTTTCTTTCTTTCTTTCCTTCTTTCTTTCTTTCTCCCTCTTCCTCCCTCCCTCTCTCTCTCTCTCTCTCTCTCTTCTTTCTTTGACAGAGTTTTGCTCTTTTTGCTCAGGCTGGAGTGCAGTGGGGCAATTTTGGCCCACTGCAACCTCCACCTCCCGGGTTTAGGCAATTCTCCTGCCTCACGTCCCGAGTAGATGAGATTACAGGCATGTGCCGCCATGCTCGGCTAATATTGTATTTTTAGTAGAGACAAGATTTCTCCATGTTGGTCAGGTTGGTCTCAAATTCCTGACCTCAGGTGATCCACCCACCTCGGCCTCCCAAAGTGCTGGGATGAGAGGCCTGAGCCACTGTGCTTGGCCTGGGGGTGTCGTTTCTCAGCAGCCAGGACTTTCCAAGCTGTGGGACCTTCTTTTCTCCCTTTGTGAAATGGGCTCTTTGGGGTCAGGGAGGGCTCTGGACTGTCTAGCACCATTTCTCAGGAGCTGACAAAGTCACCAGCTGGACAATTGGTCCCAGGGAATTAGATGAATCAAGAGGACACTGCCCTGCCTCTCAGCCTGGGCATGGTGGGTCCCACTCTCGTGAGAAGAATCAAAATTACCTGGGAGACTAGGTTCATCCTTTTTTTTTTTTTTGAGGCAGGGTCTTGCCCTGTTCTCTAGGATGGAATACAGTGGTGTGATCATCGCTTACTGTGGCCTCGACCTCCTGGGCTCAAGTGATCCTCCCACCTTGCCCTCCTGGATAGCTGTGACCACAGGCGTGCACCACCATGCCCAGATAATTAAAAAAATTATTTTTTGTAGAGATAGGATCTCATTATGTTGCCCACACTGGTCTCAAACTCTTGCGCTCAAGTGGTTCTCCCACCTAGGCTTCCCAAAGCACTGGGATTAGGGGAGTGAGCCTCTATGCCTGGCCTGAACCTGAAACTCTTTAATCCTTGGTCATTTGGCCTAAAAAGATGAAATTTGGCTACTCCTTCTAGAAACGTGGTGTGTCTAGATTGAGAAGTCACTTACCTGGGGTTCCTGTGGGAAAAAAAATACAGAAGATCCTATCTTGAAGGCCATGAGAGATGATGGACTACAAATCCCATCACCCATGGGGCCATGACTTCATAAGCTGCAGCGATACAGAGAGTCCATGGCCTCATAGGAGTTGTAGTTTCAGTGGGTGGGACTGATATGCATTTGGGAAGAACAGAAAGATGACAGGATGTGACCCAGGGCTGTAGCCAGGGGACAGAGAGGGCTGGGAGAGTCTGGTCCTCATGGTATTTTGGTGTCTAGGCTCTTTCCTGTGGTTCAGCCTCCTTAGCCACTGGAGCCATTGATAATGGGTATCTCAGCTTTGCTGTGGGGGAGAGGCTGGCAGGCAGGCTGGGGTAAGAGGGTCTTTGAGGCTACCCCTTTAGTTCTCTGTCCTCACTTCTCAGCTCCCAGTGAGGTCACGGATCTCCAGAACAAAACTCAGACTAACAACTCAGTCACACTGTGGTGGCAGGCCCCCAGAGACCCCCACTCTCAGCTGTACGTATACAGGGTCCAGTGGGCCAGCGAGGGACATCCCCAGAGGGAGCAAGATCCGCAAGTGAATTGGGCCAACCAGTCCAGCAGGACCAATGAGACATGGTACAAGGTAGAGGCCCTGGAACCCGGGACTCTGTACAACTTCACCGTGTGGGCAGAAAGAAACGACATGGCCAGTTCCACGCAAAGCATCCGTGTGTCCACAAGTGAGACCACCCTCTCGCCCACCCCTTCCTGCCTTCACCTGGTGAACTGGGCTTAGCTCAGGCCTTGAGGGCTGAGAGATGAATGGAGTAAAAATCCCATCAGGCCATGGGCCATGACTTGATGAGCTGCAGCTATGGCAGAGCCCAAGGCCTCATGGGAGTTGTAGTTTGAAGGAACTTACTTGTATCCATTTGGAGAGGACAGAAAAGGAGGGAAGATGAGGTGGTTTGGATTGGGGAGGAAGGGATGGGCTTATCTCTGAGAACTGGCCTGAGTAGTGGGGGTGGGGGTGGAAAGCCACCTTGGATGGCTCTGCTGACCTCTTGCTTCCTTCACCCAGACCCAGACACAGTCACCATCACTTCCTGCGTCAGCACCTCAGGGGGCTATGGAGTCATCTTGACCTGGTCCTGCCCCCAGGGAGGCTATGAGGCCTTTGAGTTGGAGGTGGGTGGACAGCGAGGCTCCCAGGACAGAGCTTCGTGTGGGAAGGGTATGTCTGTGTTGGGTCTCGGGCCAGCTCAGTCCTACCCAGCCACCATCACGACCATCTGGGACGGAATGAGAGCCACCTCTGCCTCTGTGACCTGCCACACCGAGAGTGCAGGTGAGCGGAGCCGCGTGGGCCAGGGAGCTTTGACAAAATTCTCAGTAGACCCCAGCAGGCCCTGCTTTGTGAGGGAATCAATGGGATTCTTTTGTTTCTCGTTTCCTTTGAAACATCTTTATTTTATTTTTGTGAGATGGAGTTTTGCTCTTGCTGCCCAGGCTGGAATGCTGTGGTGCGATCTCTGCTCACTGCAACCTTCGGGTTCAAGCGATTCTCCCGCTTCAGCCTCCTGAGTAGCTGGGAATACAGGCATGTACCACCACACCCGGCTAATTTTTGTATTTTTAGTAGAGACGGGGTTTCACTATGTTGGCCAGGCTGGTCTCAAACTCCTGACCTCAGGTGATCCACCCACCTCGGTCTCCCAAAGTGTTAGGATTACAGGCGTGAGCCACCACACCTGGCCTATCCATTCATTTTTATCCATTCACTGCTCCAGTTGATACATCAGTTGAGTGGTTTCTGCTTTTGACTATTATGGGCAATGCTGCTAGGAACGTTTGTGGACAGGTTTTGTGTGGACGTATGTTTTTATTTCTCTTGGGTCTATACCCACTAGTGGAACAGTCACATGGGAACTGTACTTTTAACTGCCCTTTTTTTCCCCTCCTAATGTGGTTGTATCACTTTGCATTAATCAATGGGGTACTTGAAGAGGTTTGGAGCTTAGGCTTGGGAAAGGTCTGGCCATGTACCAAGACTGTGGCCATAAGCCTCACTTTGCCCCATCAGTCACTTCCCGGGAATAGGGTCTCCAATCTGGAGAGAGCCTGGGGGTTGATGCGGCGACCAATGGATGCCGTTCAAACTGGGCTTTGCCAGACCCCACTGCCTAGAAAGTTCTCTCCCTTAGTAACAAGGTTGTAAGACCGTACTGTCCCCTGTCGACAAGCACACTGTTCGCGGCTGCAGCTTGGGGCCCTTGAAGGCTGATAGAGATGGGCCACCGGCTTGAGTCTACCCTAAGACCAGACATCTAACAACAGGTCTTGGGAGAGCCATGCCCGTCAGAGCCTGAGAGCAGGCACGGCCTCAGATGCCACCAGACCTCGGTAGGCTCCGCTGCTGGGAAGTCCTTCCTGAGCCAGCAGGACCTCCGAGGAGATGAAGCTGCAATTCTGGGGAGGACGGAAGCCGTCCATGCCAGGGACAATCTCACAGCCAGCAAAGTGTTTTCCCAGCCTCGGCACTATAGATGCTTTGCGCTAGATCCTTCTTTATTGTGGTGGGGGGGGGGGCGTCCTGTGCATTGTAGGGTATTGAGGAGCACCCCTGGTTCCACCCACTAGATGCCAGCAGCACTCCCACCTCCGAGCTGTCCAAATTCTCCAGACATTGCCCGGTGTCTCCTTGGCAACAAAATCGCCCTTGTTGAGAAGAACTAGTCTGGGCTAAGGAATGCAAGAGTCACTGTTTTTTTGTTGTTTTGGGTTTTCTTTTCATGAGACAGGGTTTCACTCTGTTGCCCAGGCTGGAGTACAGCAATACGATCAGGGCTTAATGCGGCCTCCACTTCCCAGGCTCAAGTGATCCTCCTGCCTCAGTCCCCTGAGTCGCTGGGACTATAGGCATGTACTACCATGCCCCGCTATTTTGTTGTTGTTGTTTTTTTCTTTTCCTTTTTTTTCTGAGATGGAGTCTTGCTCTATAGCCCAGGCTGAAGTGCAGTGGTGCCATCTTGGCTCACTGCAACCTCCACCTCCCGAGTTCAAGTGATTCTCATGCCTCAGCCTCCTGAGTAGCTGGGATTACAGGTGTGTGCCACCTCACCCAGCTGATTTTTGTGTTTTTATTAGAGATGGGGTTTTGCTGTGTTGCCCAGGCTGATCTCAAACTCCTGATCCACCCACCTCGGCCTCCCAAAATTTTGGGATTACAGGCGTGAGCCACTGTGCCTGGTCAGGAGTCACTCTTCCGCAACCAGGTCACCTGTGAAAATGATGGACAGTTGACCCCTGAATGATAATCCCCTACACAGTCAAAAATCTGCATGTAATTTTTACTCCCCAAAAACTTACCTACTAACAGCCTACACTTGACTGGGAGCCCTACCAATAACATCAACAATTAACATGTATTTTGTCTGTAATATGTATTATATATTATATATATATTTTGAGACAGAGTCTCGCTCTGTCACCCAAGCTGAAGTGCAGTTGTGCGATCTTGGCTCACTGTAACCTCCGCCCCCTGGGTTCAAGAGATTCTCCTGCCTCAACCTCCCAAGTAGCTGGGATTACAGGCACGTGCCACAATGCCTGGTTAATTTTTTTGTATTTTTAATAGAGACGGGGTTTCACTGTGTTAACCAGGATGGTCTCAATCTCCTGACCTCGTGATCTGCCGGCCTCAGCCTCCCAAAATGCTGGGATTACAGGTGTGAGCCATCATGCCCAGCCATATTGTATTCTTATAATAAAGTAGCTAGAGAAAAAAAATGTCATTAAGAAAATCTTGGCCAGGTGCAGTGGTTCGTGCCTGTAATCCCAGCACTTTGGGAGGCCAAGGCGGGTGGATCACGAGATCAGGAGTTCAAGACCAGCCTGGCAAGATGGTGAAACTCCATCTCTACTAAAACTACAAAAATTAGCCAGGTGCAGTGGCAGGTGCCTGTAATCCCAGCTACTCAGGAGGCTGAGGCAGGAGAATCGTTTGAACCTAGGTGGCAGAGGTTGTAGTCAGCTGACATCGCGCCACTGCACTCCAGGCTGGGCAACAGAGTGACATTTCATCTCAAAAAAAAAAAAAAAAAAGGAAAAAAAGAAAAGAAAAGAAAAAGAAAATCGTAAGGAAGAGAAAGCGTATTCACTATTTACTAAGTGTATCATCAGAAAGGTCTTCATCCTTGTGGTCTTCAAGCTGAGTGGGCAGAGGGGGAGGAGAAAGAAGAGGGGGTGGTCTTGCTGTTTCAGGGGTGGAGAAAAATCCATGGATAAGCATAACTGGACCCACGCAATTCAGACCCACGTTGTTCAAGGGTCAGCTGTGTTTGAACCAGGTTCCCGGGGAAGAGGAAAGGCTGGGCAAGGCTGGAGACAGAGGAGTAGATAAGACCTGTGCTCTGAGGGTTCCCATTGCTTCCTCCCCACAGGGGTCATTGCCGGAGCCGTTGTGGGCATCCTCCTATTTCTCATCCTGGTGGGCCTGCTTATTTTCTTCCTGAAGAGGAGGTGAGACTCAGCACAGGGCTGACCGCCTGGAGGGTGGGGGCCGGAGAAGAAGGAGGAGGACCCCTGGTTGCAGCCTCACTCCCTGAGCCTTTTATCTTAATTCCTTTTCCCAGGAATAAGAAGAACCAGCAGAAGCCAGAACTCAGTGATCTGGTCTTCAGGTGAGCAGAAGGTTTGGGGGGCGCATCGGTTTGGGGTCGAATTAAGGGGTGTTTGCTGGCTGCTGGCTAAGTCAGAAGGTGGATCGGTGAATCTACCCACAAATACCTCAGACGGGACTGATGCCCCTGAGACAGGAACCATAGCCCTTCCATTGCAGCTCACTCCCCAAGCAGCCTGGACCAGTGACTTTAAATTCAGTTCTGGTGTCAGCTCCAGGACGTTCACTCATGCATTCATTCATTCATTCAGCAGATATCAGCTGAGCACCAGCATGTATCAGGCACTGTTCCAGCTGTCAAACAAGCGGTAAATTAAACCAAGAGTCCTGCCCTCCGGGGCTTATATTCTAGTACTGGAGACATCAGTAAGGAAGATCATAAACAATATGATATAAACCTGGAGACAGGACCAGGCATGGTGGCTCATGCCTGTAATCCCAGCTACTCGGAAGGCTGTGAGGCAGGAGAATCACTCCTGAACCTGGGAGGCGGAGGTTGCAGTGAGCTGAGATTGCGCCACTGCATTTCAGCCCGGGAAACAGAGCAAGACCCCGTCAAAAAAAAAAAAAAAAAAAAAAAAAAAAAAAGGGTTGTGCACAGTGTCTAATACCTATAATCCCGGCACTTTGGGAGGCCAAGGAGGATGGATCACAAGGTCAGAAGTTCAAGACCAGCCTGGCCAACACCATGAAACCTTGTCTCGACTAAAATACAAAAATTAGCCAGAGGTGGTAGTGCACGCCTATAGTCCCAGCTACCCGGTAGGCTCTGGCAGGAGAATTGCTTAAACCTGGGAGGCAGAGGTTACAGTGAATCGAGATTGTACCACTGCACTCCAAGCCTGGGAAACAGAGTGAGACTGTCTCAAAAAAAAAAAAAAAAAGAAAAAAACAAATATATATGTATTAATAATATATAAAATAATATAATAAACTTGTAGACAAAGCAAGAGGACGGGATAGGAAGGGTTGAGGAATATTTTAATATTCTTCTAATGTGAAAATTAGAGGAAATTGGAAAATCAGAGGATTTTAAAATTTTTATTTATTTATTAATTTGTTGAGACAGGGTCTTACTCTGTGGCGCAGGCTGGAGTGCAGTGTCACAGGCGTAGCTCACTGCAGCCTGGACCTCCTGGGCTCAAGTGATCCTCCCACCTCAGCCTCCCCAGTAGCTGGGACTGCAGGCACGCTCCACAATGCCTGGCTAATTTTTAAATTTTTTTTGGCAGGGGGGTCTCATTAGGCTGTCCAGGCTGGTCTTGAACTCCTGGCCTCAAATAATACTTCCACCTCAGCCTCCCAAAGTGTTAGGATTACAGGCATGAGCCGCCACACCCAGTAGGAATATTTTAGGCAGGATATTCAAGGAAAGTCTGGCTAACAGGATGACTCAGAGGAAGTCATCTGAGCACAGACCTAAGCAAGTGGGAGAGGAGCCGTGCATGCATCTGGGAAAGGCGTTCTGAGGACAGGGCGGGCGAGCGGAGAGCCTGAGGCAGCAGCACACGTGGGATTCAGAGGACATCCTGCATTTCCAACAGAGCAGAGGAAGGGGAGGGCCGTGGGAAGTGAGGTCAGAGAGGCATCAGTGGGGCCAGAGCAGGTACAGGTTTGTAGATGAAAGTTAGGATTTTGGATCTACTGTGAGATGGGAGTTTTGTGAAGATTTTGAATAGACTAGTGACACAGTCTAACGTGTAAGAAGCAAAGGGAAGAGATTTGTAATAATCCAGACAGGAGGTTGGGTGCAGTGGCTCACGCCTGTAATCCCAGCACTTTGGGAGGCCAAGGCGGGCAGATCCCTTGAGGTCAGGAGTTTGAGACCAGCCTGACCAACATGGCAAAACCCCATCTCTACTAAAAATACAAAAATTAGCCAGGCATGGTGGCCAGTGCCTATAATTCCAGCTACTTGGGAGGCTGAGGCAGGAGAATCGCTTGAGCTTGGGAGGCTGAGGTTGCAGTGAGCCGAGACCACACCACTGGGTAGCAGCCTGGGTAACAAAGTGAGATTCTGTCTCAAAAAGAAAAAAGAAGAAAGAAGGAAGAAAGGAAGGAAGGAAAGAAAGAGAGAAAGAAAGAGAAGGAAAGGAAGAAAGAAGGGAAAGAAAGAAAGAAAGAAAGGGAGAGGGAAAGTGAAACTACAGGAATGAGCCAAACCCTGTAAGAAGTGTGTGTCCAGTGAGAAAGCGGCTTGGAGAGGGACACTGGGGAGCACGTACCTTTGGAAGATGGACCGAGGAGGAGGGGCCTGCCCAGGAGATGGACAAGCAGCAGCCGGGTAGGTGGGAGCCAAGCCAGGCCTGGGTGTTCAGGAGCAGTGCAGATCCACGAGAACAGGTGAGGCCCAGCGTGGTGCTGAACACTGCTGAGCTCAGGCGGGTGAGGCCTTTGCAATTACAGACAGGGAGGCAGAGATGATTGTGGAGAAAGGTATTCCCTGTAGTAGTGGGTATAGCCTCAGGCCAGGGTGATAGAATGACAAGAAGGAGAGAAAACTGGTCTGCATGAGAAGTTTGAGTGGAGGGCTGTCTGAGTAGGTTTTATTATTATTATTATTATTATTATTTTGAGATGGAGTCTCACCCTTTTGCCCAGGCTGGAGTGCAGTGAGCGTGATCTCGGCTCACTGCAACCTCTGCCTCCCGGGTTCAAGCAAAATTTTCTTGCCTAAGCCTCCCAAGTATCTGGGATTACAGGCGCTCACCACCACTCCCGGCTAATTATTGTTGTTATTATTATTTTTTTGAGATGGAGTCTCGCCCTGTTGCCCAGGCTGGAGTGTGGTGGTGCAATCTCAGTTCACTGAAACCTCCACCTCCCGGGTTCAAGAGATTCTTGTGCCTCAGCCTCCCAAGTAGTTGGGATTACAGATGCCACCACCACGCCCGGCTCATTTTTGTATTATTAGTAGAGACAGGGTTTCACCATGTTGGCCGGACTCGTCCTGAACTCCTGACTTCAGGTGATCCACTCACCTGGGCTTCCCAGAGTGCTGGGATTACAGGTGCAAGTCACTGCACCCGGCTGGTTTTATTACTATTTAGGTATGGTAAGGTCAACAGATCAGGAGACAGACATTAAAAAGAGTTTGTTACTCAGAATTTCCAAGAGGAAAGAGCCTGTCCCACCATGAGGGGCCACAGGAGGAAGCACCAGGGCCACTCAGGAGGCAGAGGTGCGGGGAGGAACTTCAGGCAGGAGTTTCCAAGGGAGGGACTGGGCCAGGGAGGAAAGCTAGGTTTATGATTGGCTAGTTTGCATAATTCCATGAGCTCAGGGGCACAGGGGCCACATCCGATTGTCTGGCACCTGGTCCTGGCGTGATGAGAGCAGGTGCACCGTGGCCCAGAGTGTGAGAGCCCAAAAGCACTCTTTCTATATATATACACATATATGTATGTATATATACATGTATGTATGTATATATATACACACACATAAATATATACACATATATGTGTATGTATATTTTTTATTTTTTCTTTCTTCTTTGAGACAGAGTCTTGCTCTGTCGCCCAGGCTGGAGTTGAGTGGCACAGTCTTGGCTCACTCAACCTCTGCCTCCCGGGTTCAAGCAGTTCTCCTGCCTCAGCCTCCTGAGTAGCTGGGACTACAGGCAAACACCACCACACCCAGCTAATTTTTGTATTTTTAGTAGAGAAGGGGTTTGTTTCACCATGTTGGCCACGCTGGTCTCGAACTCCTGACCTCAGGTGATCCACCTGACTTGGCCTTCCAAAGTGTTGGGATTACAGGCATGAGTCACCATGTCTGGCCCTCAAAAGTGCAAGATTCAAAGAGGTTACAGTCTTTTCTCCCTGCTCCCCCAAAACCCACAGCTTCCTAGGGGACATCCTGGCTGAAGACTTTGCTGACCACGTCAGGAAGAATGAGAAGGACAGCAACTATGGTTTTGCAGAGGAGTACCAGGTGGGGAGAGGACAGAGGGGCTGAGCTCAGCCTCCCTCTGTTGGCCCATACCCCCACTCCCACCCACTGACCAGACCTCATGGCCTTTGGGATCGAGCAAAGGCAGAAACACATATGTCGCTGGATTGTCAGGGATTCCCAGCCATGCTTATCTTTCCACTCACTGAAATCTTTTTTTTTTTGACATGGAGTTTTGCTCTTGTTGCCCAGGCTGGAGTGCAATGGCGTGATCTCAGCTCACTGCAACCTCCGACTCCCTGGTTCAAGGAATTCTGCTGCCTCAGCCTCCCGAGTAGCTGGGATTACAGGCATGCATCACCACACCTGGCTAATTTTTGTATTTTTAGTAGAGACAGGGTTTCACCATGTTGGCCAGGATGGTCTCGAACTCCTGACCTTGTGATTCACCTGCCTCGGCCTCCCAAAGTGCTGGGATTACAGGCATGAGCCACCACGCCCGGCCCTTGAAATCTTAAAATAATGGTGGGTCAGTCCTAAAGTAACCCTCTCCACTCCCACCAAGTGAGTCCTTTCTCCCTGACACCTGCTTCCTTGCCTGCTTGAAGAAGTCCCCACAGCTCCCTCAATGCCCCACAGAGTGGGCAGCACACATATGTCCTGTTTCTGTGGGTGCCATAGAATCTCAGGGTGCAAGGGATAAACAAGTGGTGATGCCAAAGAAGGCAAGGGGAGCTTGGGGGGTCCCCTCAAGGGCAAGTAGAGAAAAGCCAACACCAGGTACCCCCTCTGCCTGCACCCCCAGCAACTGTCCCTGGTGGGCACCAGCCAGTCTCAGATGGTGGCTTCAACTCCAGAGAACAACACCAAGAACCGCTACAGAAATGTGCTTCCCTGTGAGTCTTGGGCTTCCGCTGCTTTTGCCCCAGCCCCGATCTAGTCAGCACCCCACCCCAGTGCCCTTCTCCTACCTGCTATGAGAGACAAGACCCTCCCCCACATGGTCTTCCTTTTTTTTTTTTTACTTGGAGACCGAGTCTCGCTCTGCTTCCCAGGCTGGAGCGAAGTGGCGCCGTCTCAGCTCACTGCAACCTCTGCCTCTTGGATTCAAGGGATCCTCCCACCTCAGCCTCCTGAGTAGCTGGGAGTACAGACACCTGCCACCAAGCCCGGCTAATTTTTGCATTTTAGTAGAGATGGGGTTTCACCATGTGGGCCAGGCTGTTCTGGAACTCCTGACCTCATATGATCCACCCACCTCAGCCTCCCAAAGTGCTGGGATTACAGGCGTGAGTCACCCCGCCTGGACATGGGTCCCTTTGAGAGTCCTCCTGGCCTGCTCCCCACAGCTGTGGTCCCTCCACCTCTCTTGATCCTGCATGGCTCCCAGGGCCTGCCTGCACCTCGGCATGAGCTCTGTCTGTGGGTCTTGGTCTTGTCTCTATGCCTCTCTGGGTCTCTCGGCCTCTCACTGGTCTCTCTGCATGGCTAATGCTGGCCTCTTCTCCTAGATGACTGGTCCCGGGTGCCCCTGAAGCCCATCCCCGAGGAGCCAGGCTCTGACTACATCAATGCCAGCTTCATGCCCGTAAGGCTGTGGTTGGGATTGAAAGGGTGCCCAGCAGGCCTGGAGAGATAAGAGCTGGCGGGGGTCATCCAAAGGCCCCCATGACCCACCTGCCTCCCTCAACCAGGGTCTCTGGAGCCCCCAGGAGTTCATAGCAACCCAGGGCCCCCTGCCACAGACAGTGGGCGACTTCTGGCGCCTGGTGTGGGAACAGCAGAGCCACACCCTGGTCATGCTGACCAACTGCATGGAGGCCGGCCGGGTGAGAAATGCGGGTCCTGCATGCTGACTGGGTGCATGACCCCGCCCTGAACACTGATCCAATGTAGACCCCACACCCAGACCTCACGGGTTCCTCCAGTGTCACCCCAGGAATCTTCAGTGTGACCTCTTCCCCACTCTCCCAGCCCGTCTGCTGGTTCGCATGTGGGGGCTAAGGCAGACCCCACAGACCTGGGGAGGAGGAGTTCTCCTGTTCTCTGAGCCCTTATCCTCCCGCAGGTGAAGTGTGAGCATTACTGGCCTCTGGACTCTCAGCCCTGCACCCACGGGCACCTGCGGGTGACCCTGGAGAGTGAGGAAGTGATGGAGAACTGGACGGTCCGGGAACTGCAGCTCCTCCAGGTGCGTCCAGCCCCGCGCTGGCCCTCAGCCTTCCCCTGTGGCACGCCAGGCACCCAGGACCCTCCACCAACTCCAGCCTTCCACCCACCGCTTTGAGGAGCTGAGCTGTGCTCCAGAGAACCCGCCCTCAGTGGTAGAAGCCAGGTTCTCCCTACATTCATCTCCAGAGCCTGTAAGCACTCCCTCCTTCCAGGTGGAGGAGCAGAAGACGCTCTCCGTGCGGCAGTTCCACTACCTGGCCTGGCCGGATCACGGCGTTCCCTCCTCCCCAGACACGTTGCTGGCTTTCTGGAGGATGCTCCGGCAGTGGCTGGATCAGACCATGGAGGGAGGCCCACCCATTGTGCATTGCAGGTGGGGACCAGCCCAGGACCCTCTCCCGAGAGAACCGCTCCCTTGGGGCTCAGACGGTGGTGCTAGATGGGACCCTGGGGACTCACAGGGAGGTGAAAAGAAAGAGAAGGAGATGGATGTCGAAGATAAAGTGGGGCATGAAGCAGATAAGAAGAGGAGGAGTTTAAGGATGAAACAATGGGAAGGAGAAATGAAAAGTCAGGCTGGGCATGGTGGCTCACGCCTGTAATCCCAGCACTTTGGGAGGCCGAGGTGGGTGGATCAGTTGAGTTCAGGAGGTTCAGAGCAGCCTGGCCAACATGGTGAAACCCCGTCTCTACTAAACATACAAAAATTAGCTGGGTGTGGTGGCGGGTGTCTGTAATCTCAGCTACTCGGGAGGCTGAGGCAGGAGAATCGCTTGAACCCAGGAGGAGGAGGTTGCAGTGAGCCGAGGTCACACCACTGCCCTCCAGCCTGGGTGACTTTGTCTCAAAAAAAAAAAAAAAGAAAGAAAAAAAGATGAAAGGGTAAAGGAAGAGAAGTTTGAATGCAGAAGAGGAGAAGGGATAAAGGTGCAGGAGGGGGATGAGGCCACACATTCAGAGAAACATTGGAGGCACTTCCTTGTGCTCAAGTACGGGGCCGCCCCATCAACTGCTTTCCTGATATTTATTTATTTATTTTTATTTTATTATTATTACTTTTTGAGATGGAGTCTCCCTCTGCAGCTCAGGCTGGAATACAGTGCTGCAGTCTCAGCTCACTGCAACCTCTGCCTCCTGGGTTCAAGCAATTCCCCTGCTTCAGACTCCTGGATAGCTGGGATTACAGGCACACACCACCACGCTCTGCTAATTTTTGTGTTTTTAGCAGACATGGGGTTTCACCATATTGGTCAGGTTGATCTCAAACTCCTGACCTCAGGTGATCCGCCCGCCTCAGCCTCCCAAAGTACTGGGATTACAGGCACAAGCCATGGTGCCCAACCCTTTCCTGATATTTATGCTGAAGTCCTGTAGGTCAGAGTCCTGTAGGTCAGATTTCATCTAACGGCAACTATTAGGGAGATGATGAGGAGGGACAGATCCTGAGACTGGGGCTCTGGTTTCAGCGACAGTGAATGTTTACACAGTCCTACTGCTCCTCCTAACGACTTCGTGGCAAAAGAGTTCCCTCCCCATTCTAGAGCTGAGTGGGTATCATTACATCATTCTGTTAGTATGCAACATCCAAAACAGCCAAATCAACAGAGACACAAAACAGATGAGTATGTTCCAGGCCCTGGAGGGAGACAGGGAATGGGGAGAGACTGCCTAATGGGTATGGTGTCTGCTTTAGGGGTGAAGAAATGTTTTGCAACTAGATAGAGGTGGGGGCTACACGACACTGTGAGTGTGCTAAATGGCTCACATTAAAATAGCTTTTTTTTTTTTTTTTTTGAGACACAGTCTTGCTCTGTTGCCCAGGCTGGATAGGTGCAATCTCGGCTCACTGCAACCTCCACCTCCTGGGTTCAAGCATTTCTCCTGCCTCAGCCTTCTGAGTAGCTGGGACTACAGGCACATGCTACTACTCCTGGCTAATTTTTTGTATTTTAGTAGAGACGGGGTTTCACCGTGTTAGTCAGGATGGTCTCGAACTCCAATGCTCAGGCAGTCCACCCACCTTGGCCTCCCAAAGTGCTAGGATTACAGGTGTAAGCCACTGCATCCAGCCTAATTTCTTTATTTTTAGTAGAGACAGAGTTTCTCCATGTTGGCCAGGCTGGTCTCAGACACCTGACCTCAGGTAATCTGCCCACCTCGGCCTCCCAAAGTGTTGGGATTACAGGTGTGAGTCACTGCGCCCAACCTAAAATAGCTATTTTTTTTCACTGGGCGTAGCAGCTCATGCCTGTAATCCTAGAACTTTGGGAGGCCAAGGTGAGAGGATCCCTTGAGTCCAGGAGGTCAAGGCTGCAGTGACCTGAGATTGTGCCACTGCACTCCAGCCGGCATGACAGAGAGAGAAAAAACAAAACAAAAGATTAATTTTGTGTTTAAAGGAATTTTTAAACGATTGGCTGGAGAGTTCCTCTTCCTGTGTTCGAACCCGGCTCTGTCACTTACTAGCTGAGTAACCTGGGGAATGAGACCTCACCTCACTCAGCCTCCATTTCACCATCTGTACAATGGGTGTGCGAGTGCACCCCACTGCTTAGGTTTGTGAGGACTGAAGAAGGCCCATCAGGCACTTAGAACAGGGCCTCACAGATGCAAGGAACTCTAGACATAGCTTTTCGTGGTTTTTTTTTTTTTTTTTTTGAGATGGAGTTTCTCTCTTTTCACCCAGGCTGAGGTGCAATGATGCAATCTCAGCTCACTGTAACCTCTGCCTCCTGGGTTCAAGCAATTCTCCTGCATCAGCCTCCCAAGTAGCCAGGATTACAGGCGTGCGCCACCACACCCGGCTAATTTTTGTATTTTTAGTAAAGACGGGGTTTTGACACATTGGACAGGCTGGTCTTGAACTTCCGACCTTGGGTGATCCACCTGCCTCAGCCTCCCAAAGTGTTGGGATTGCAGGCGTGAGCAGGCATAGTTGCTGTCATCATTCAAACACAGATCCCTCCAATCAGCCATGACCCTGGACCCTCGCACTCCCGCCCCTTGGTCTGACCCTTTCTTTGTTCTGCTTAGTGCTGGCGTGGGCCGCACGGGCACCCTCATTGCCCTGGACGTCCTGCTTCGGCAGCTGGAGTGCGAGGGTCTCCTTGGGCCCTTCAGCTTCGTGAAGAAGATGAGAGAGAGCCGGCCGTTGATGGTACAGACGGAGGTGAGGCAGCCCCTGGCCCCAGAGTGATACTGGACAGGAGGCGGTGGGACATGGGACCCTGGGGCTCCACGCAGCCCAGGCTTGCAGAGACACCCCTCGCTCACTCCCATGCCCCCTTCCCAGGCCCAGTACATATTCCTGCACCAGTGCATCCTGCGGTTCCTCCAACAATCAGCCCAGGCCCCAGCTGAGGAGGAGGTCACGTATGAGAATATTGAAAACCTTATTTACGAGAACAAGGCCGCCATCCAGGCCCACGAGTTGGAGGTCTAAGTGACAAGAGGGCTGGGCTGGCAGCCCAGGCATCCTCAAGCTCTGGACGCCCACTTGAACCCAGATTCCTGGAAGAGCAGAGGGCTGGGCTCCCAGACTCCTGGGTGCTGTGGGAGGAGGGGGCTGGGAGCCCAAACTCCAGTTTCCCCAGGAGAGAGTGATCTGGTGGACCTCAGCACATGACTCTATGGGACCTGGGGATCTGGATTCCTGGTGCCTTGAAGGAGGAGAGGGGTGGTAGCTTGGAATTCCTAGGTCTTTGAGGGAGGAGGAAGCTGGGAATCTGGGATGTAGGAAGAAACAGGCTGGAGCCTGGATTCTGAGGCAGGAAGGAATTCAGGTCTGGAATTCTGGCTACTTGAGGACAAAAGGCAGGCAGGATCCTGCCCTGCTTTTACTTCAGAAACCAAATCAGTCTATAATCTGAGGTTGGAGGGAGTCCCTGTGCCCAAGGTCTCCCTGCACCCGCCGTCTGCATATGTGTTTCCTTCTATCCCATAATTTATCAAATCATTGTTTTCCACAGAGATGGTTGTCCTATGGATTTCTGGGTCTAGAAATAATATTGGGGTGGGAGTAGGGATGGGTTCCTGGGATCTAGGGATAGAGACAAACGTCCAGGAGGGGACTAAGGGGACCCACACACTTGCCCATAAAAAAATGTAGGATTTGGCCGTTGAGTCTCTCAGAGAAGGCAGCATCCAATCATCTGTGTCTGGGGTCTGGGAAGTATGGACAGGGCTCGCTGAAGCTAGGTGCTTGGGGACTTGCCTTCTGGGCTTTCTCTTTCCTTCTTTCCTTCCTTCCTCCCTTCCTCCCTTCCTCTATCCCTCCCCTCCCCTCCCCTTCCCTTCCCTTCTTCTTCCCTTCCCTTCTTCCCTTCCCTTCTTCTTCCCTTCCTTCTTCCCTTCCCTTCCTTCTTCCTTTCCTTCTTCC